TTGTTCAGTGTCTGCCTAGCTATACATACTTTGAGTGATTGATTTAAAAAAAAAATCTTTGTCTTGTATAAAGAAATCACATGGAAATCACCATTCATTCCGGTCAGCATCACAATTGCAGTAATACTGAGAATCAATACAGTTCCCCTCTAATCCGCAAGTACATTTTTGAGGATCAGGCAAAGGACCTCCCCAATAAGTTTGTGTTTCGTTGGTTCTTCCAATCCACCAGCTCAGAGGGGCGCCATCTGAAAGACAAAGGTGAGAAATGTTGACATTTGCTTTCTTCCAAAATCATTAAAAAGAATAAAAGGAGAAAGAAAGATTGATTTGATGTAATAATACACTAAACACTATAATTAATGGCATTTCCTCAAGAAAGGTTTTTTTAGAAAAATATTTCAGTACTTAGGCTTAAATGATTGATACATTGTTCTCTGGGTAAAAAGAAACCAGCAGTACCTATTTAATGTAGTCATGATAGTAAAAAATGAATTGAGAGAAGTTCATATATATATAATTTCTTTAAAAATAATTCTGAAACAAGTTGGCATCAAAATATCAACCACCGTAACTAATATGCCCAAGCAAAATTGATTTGAAATTATGAAGTGTCTTTTAAAACATTATGGAATATTATGTAAAGTCACTGATTCATCTCAATATGTTTGTTGTCTAAAAATATATGCGCTGTGTATTAAACATTAGACATGGTATGGCACTCCCTTGTCATGATTTAAGATTTATTTGGATGTATGTATTTTCTCTTCCATTTAATGGCTTGGCTATTTATTTGTCGACTACAGAAATAACGATGAAAGATCTTTATGCCTGAAGCAAATACGATACTCAAAAAAAAAAAAAATTCCTTCAGCAAATGCATCTCTTTCTACAATAAATGTTCAGCTACCAGCTCCTCCTGGAGTTAAGACTAAACATGATGCCAACGAACTAAAGCAAAGAACAGACAGAATGTCTAGGTGGGAATTTTCAGAAAAGGGGGTGAGGCATGTTGGCAATCTGTCTTGGGGGAAAAAAGGGTACAGAGAGGAAAAATTATAGTCATTCGAGAATCAAGGCATGAGAAGCAACATCAAATCCGTCAGCTCCTAAAGGTACTTGATGATTTTTTTCTGTTGACTTTCAAACCTTTAAGTTGTAACCATTAGCCCGACTGAGAATCTGGGATTTCTACTAATTTCTCCCTTGCTTACAAATGCCTATGTACATTTTAACGTACTGTTAGATACGTACTGTTAGATAGCCTCTCTGCTGCTAATGCTGACAGCCTCTCTCCCAGACGAGAGGGGCCCACTTTATGCACTTCATACATGTTATTCCACCCCATCACCACTGCACCCCTGTGAGGCTGGCATTATTGACTCCGTTTCAAAGAAGAGAAAACGAAGATTGAGAGTCATCATTCATCCATTCATCCATTTCATGAATCAAAGACTCGTCTAGCTAAGTTCTGTAGGTACCTAGTAAACGAGAGACCCGAACTTGAACTTAGCTCTCTCCCCACCGGTAAATCCTATGCTTTTTGCACTACAGCTGTCGATCCTCATCTGCAGATAGGATTGAGGTTTCAGGGGGAGATGAGATTTGAGCAAGATGGGATTGGAGGGGTGAAAGGCTGAATGGGAACATTCTGAAAAAGAGGAAAAGGAGGAGGGGTAGAACTCAGGCATAGGGGAGAAATTAATCCAGTTGCATTAAGTGGATGGAGAGTAAATAGAAGAGATGCATAATTAAAAGTGAAAGGTTCAAATGTTAGACGAACCATTCAACATGTCTGTGGATAATCCATATGACATATGATGTTCCTATAAGACGCACATTTCTTTTAAAATTCTTGTCATTCTATCTGGAATGCCAACCCCTCTCAGGACAACAAGCAGGAGTGAATATTAACAAAGTGGCTTGGTAGTGCAGATATCTTAGGATCTTCTCTAATGTGTAAAGAAAAATACACCTGAATGTCACTGCTAGAAGAAAGTGTGCTGGGGAATGAGAGCAAGGTTGCATAGGCAGGGTAGATCCGGAATACGCGGTTCTGGGACCCAGGCAGAAGAGTCTGCATTGGACAGACAAGCAGCAGAAAGGCAATAGAACTTCTTAAATAGAATAATGCTGTGATGGAAGCAGTGTTTCTCAAAGGTTAGTTTTCTTCCTAAATTTTAACATTTCGGATTTTCTGTTGGATGGTTAGGAGACATAAAGAGATGGCAAGCTGGGAAGACAGTTGGAAAGCTCTTGCTGCAACTCCTAGAATCAGGTCACGAACGCCCATTTAAGGCAGAATTGGTGGGGCCTGTGATACTCTGGCATAATGAAATGTTCTAAAGGGAGAAAACATAAAACCATCACACTCCAGAAGCAGACTGGTTAATTAATAGCAGAATAAAAGAAAGAGTTAAGACGGTTTTCTGATTCCTATTTGAGGTGCTAAGCCAAGTGCGTTTCTAGAAGAATTTTCTAATTTTCAGTTATACCCGGAGGTTGTCAACCATCCATGAAAAAGAGTCAAACGGAATAGTTACTTTCAAAACACAAAGTCATATGTTTATTGGCTCTTTTCCATGATAAAATAAACCTTCTGTGTCACTCGCCCTGTATAAGAGATAAACGCTGTGCATTCGCCGAGTATCAAAAGAAAGCCTTTGCTGTGCCCCACCAGGGCCAGGAAGACAGTTTAAAAGGAATCAAGGCTTTGAGTAAAGCTCCATGTAAATTCACCTTGTTCTTTTCTTCAGGCAAAAGCATCCCTGTGACTTCCAGACTGTGACATGTTTGCTAAGTACACAAGGATCATATACCCTCAGTGGCTACATGCCAGCACCTCGGCAGAATTAAAACCTCAGGAGCTGGCTGAGTGCTCTATGTGACGTGTGCAGTGTGACAGGTGCCCCAGTTTACTTACCTTGCTTATTGCCAAGCCGTGACCTCTTGCAGTAGTAAGTAAACTCCTGTTCACAGTGCTCCGCACGGTTAATAGTGGCCTGGAGTTGCTCCATGCTGGCCACGTACTGGAAAAACCCAGCATATGGGTTCTCTGGATTAGTATTTCTGACTCTTGTTAAGTCGGAGCCATTGTGTTGTATGATGGTCCATGCAGTTTCTTGTATGCAGAAATGGGGGAAGAAAGAGAGGAGACCATCACTAGTCTGCAAAAGTTAAAATAAATAAAGAAAATCAAAATCACCTTTTATCTGAGTCAAATTTTTCTATTCATCAAACCTCTCTCGGAGGTAGAATCAGCACAAATGGATTCTTAAAATTTTAAAGTTACAGTAAAGTGGTTCTTTTCCCTGAAATAAATGGTTGCTACTGCCATGCATTTATAGTGATTTCAGTTTACTTTTTCATAAAATTTAACCAGACAATATTTATGATTAAAAAAATTAGGAAACCTAATTATTAAATTTTTGTGATATATTTCATTTCATTGAATCTGCTATTCTTTTTAAAGATGCATCATTATGTTATTTTTCTCCAAGAAAGAAAAAAATGCTGTCTATTATAATTGTAAAACATGATTATTGACACACCCAGAATTTAGAGATGTTACATTATGAAAAAAATGTGCGTTTTAGAATTAGTGAAAAATTTTATATTACATAATAGAGGCAATGACTTTTTTACTCTTAGAAATTATCTGTGTAACCAGGAAAAAGTCAAAATATTACAGCCAGTACATGTTTCTATTTAGTTAATATTTAATTATAAATATACATATATTTCTTTTTAAATCAAATATGAAATACTCATTTTGGTATCATGTGATCTATATAGCTAGGAAGTTACCCTTTTGAATTGAACACATCTGACACAGCATCAGCAACTCAACTAACACGAAAATAAAATATCTTTGAGTATCTACTGGAGCTATCACTATTGGTACTTGAGCGTCTGTAAGCATTTCCATCATACTGATTATCGAAATTACTTAGATGAAATAAAAATCTCACGATGTTTATAACAGAAGATAGGCAGAGTGTATCTGTCCTTTGACTTCCCCACCAATAGTCTTTATACTATACGTACTGTGATATATGCAGGCACAAGAACAGATTAATCAAAAGGCCTTTGATTTAATAGGCAAGAAACAAATTGGAAGTTGTCAAAACGCCACTACATATGTGCTGTGAAGTCACATAACTCTTTTGTATTACAGAGTAATATTCCAAATTAGAAGAAAACAGTAATAGTTGGTAGAATTTTCCCCCCTCTTTTTAGCTAACACATTCACATGGATCAATGATCAAAACAAGATAAGGAGGTATACTTTGAAAAATTTCAATTCCACCCCTCTCTCCCAGTCATCAGAGGCTGGAAGAGAGAGGCAGGCTGAGGCAGGACCAGCATGACAGCCTTATTGTCTTGCATATGCGGATCATTATTTTTTCTGGGAAACCATAGCTGTTAATTTTATTCCCACCCCCCTCTTGCATTTCAGCTCACCCTTTATCAGTAGGATGCTTTTCTCAAAGAGAACTTGCTCTATAAACCGATGAAATTAACTATGGGTGGCCAGGAGGACTGTGTTGAGGCCACCAGGAGATCTGAGTGGCAGATCTGGTACAGATCTTATGCCCTTAGGAAAGTCAGGTAAAATCTGAGCCTCCTTTTCCAAATTTGAAAAATAAATTGGCAGAACTAGGCAATCTAGTAGGTGTGAAATTCTATAATTTTAGCCAACTCAACCTTGGCATGGGAAGTTTAAAGATATTATTAACCAGGCAAATCTGTCAGCCTTGCCACTGTTGGACTCTGCTTTTACTGTTGAGCAAAACTATTCACCTTCTCTCGTGGTATATCAATGGCATGCACGAGGAAGCTTAACTCTGGCTGAGTAGCTGCCACAGAGCCCGACAATAAACCTGCTTGAAACCTTTGTCTCTTTGCCTTGGGAATCACACCGAGAGAGACTTCCCTATAGTGCAGCATCCCCTGGGTCACAACTAACACATGATCCTAAAGGTTTTTGCAGGTGTGATGACAGAGTCAAGGCCACAGTGCATGGCAGTCCTTAAAGGGCAGCTCACATAATTACGGAGATTTTGGAATTCTAAACTATTTCAATGCTATGATAGTTTCTGTAAGTGATTTTATTCTCTAATAAAAAGCACTACAAGGTATGACATTAAACAGATGCCACACTTATCAAACCATCTAGGTTTCCAGGGCAAAGCAGACACAATGAACTCATCACAACAGATTGTGAGCAATGGAAATGGTGTCTCAGCAGCCAGGTTCCAAATCTCATGTGCCTGGTTAATCGGGAAATCTCCGAAAATTCTCGGTTTAGAGCCTCTAACTGTTCTTTCAGATATGATTGTGTTATCTGGGGTTTCTACAAACACCTATTTAGAAATAAGAACCAAAAAAAACCAGATACTTCATCACAATTTGTAATTTGACATTTTGTTATTTATTTTATTGCAGGCCAGTCTTTAAGCCCACTAGTCCGTAAGCTCTATGAGAACAGTAGAATAGTTTCTGATCTGCTAACCACAGATTTCCAGCACACAGCACATGGGCTTGGTACGACAACAGGCAGAAGAAGATATTTGTTGAAGAAAGGAGGGAATAAACAAATAAACGAATGAATAAAAATAATACATTGTCTAGATTAAAGCACAACCTTCCAGGTTACCTGATTCTGATTCTGTGGTGGCTCTGAAACTTTCACTGATTGCCTTTGAGCTGTTTTATTATAACTCTGGAAATTGTGGATACTTAATAGGATTGAAAAATAATGTTAAGTCTGAAACTGTGAATGGTCTGAGATGTTACCTTACTTGCAAGCTATCTTGCCACATAGACAGATTGTATCTATGTATCTATCTATCTATCCATCTACCCATATGTCTATCTATAATAACAGACACAGGGACCATTTACTGGCAGAGAATCTTCACACCCCAATTTTCCATGTGCTGATGTAGTGAATGTTAGAAGTACCTGTGCATGCTGGAGTTCCTTAAAATTATGAGGCTTGGACTTACAGAGAGTAGCTAGCACATTCTCTCTTCCTCCTCTCCATTGGGTGAGAGAGAGATTTTGGCTCTGCAATGTCACAAATTTTCTTTAGAGGAGAGAAAGTACGAGTCCTTAGGTTTTTATTACTCTTCGAAAGCAAGCAAATGCATCTGGAGGAGATAAGCCTTTAAATCTCTTCTGAGCAATTCACTGTCTCTAACCTCCAAGACCTATTTAATCATTCTTTAGCCTAGGTTGCCAGATTTGTTTTTTCTTTGCTTAGAAAGAAACGCATTGTTTTCTTACAAAAAAATAATTCTTGTCTATGGACAAGCAACTTCTAACTGGTAGGGGTGCTATTGATTTCCCTCCTGCACTGTAGAAGAAGCCAGTGTTGCCTCCATACGCACAGTTATTTCAGTGCTCCTGATGTGTAGATACGTTTGTTCTTGGGATTCCCCTTTGAACTGGTTGTAACAGCTTACCAATTTCTTCATTAATAATGTATTACACACAATCTATAAAATGTGTTTTTTAGCTTTTATTGTTCTATCTGCATGAGAGTCACGGTTTATCTTTGCTGAGAATTATCTCTTACTAAACACAAAGAGAGCTGTAGTGTAAAGAGACAGGGAAATGAGTAAGAAGAGGTGGCTGAAATAGGCAGAAACATCTGCAAAGTTTAAAAACATTGGATGGTAGTTTAGCCTACCAGCGTCTCTCCCTGAAGACATTTGTAATAATATGAATTGTAAATAAAGCAACTGAGTAATTAAGAATTTGATTTACCTTAGGCTGGCTGCTGGTTTTTAGTGTGATAACAGTGTAAAGAAAAAAAAACATGCTGTTTAAGCAAGGCAGTTGCAAAGCTCGTGTTGCTTCCTGCTTGATAGCTGAGGGTTGGAAGTGCTGTGTTAATGAAAGCAGGAGAGATGAAAGGGGAGACAGAATTCTGCAGCAGAACTTGATGCAAACAAGGCTGCATTTGGACAGTAACAGTTAGTTATTAACCCTCATAGCTATTAGGAAGGGCTTTATTATTGAAATCGCTAAAATAAATATAATTATGCTATTAGAAGTCTCATGCTCTCCAGCCTTCTGGAATGGTCTAAGAAGCACCTATCTCAGAATTACATCATGTGCTTGTTAATAATGCAGGGATCCAAACCTTGGTCTCTAAAGTTATTGAGTCAAGGAAGGAGTCTTGGTAATGGGGTAGTTAGAAGGGGTGCATTTAATTCATAGCGTTTCATTTATAGAAAAGTTTGAAGGCCACTGCTATGGAGCTCATCAATTTCTCCCCTCTGCAATAATCGTCCTTACAATGCAATGTATGATAATGAGAAAATTCCTGAACGTGAAACTATTTCATTATAGAAAAAGCAATAAATTTAGTGTGGAAGAAAACAGCCCCTATACATCTCAAAGGGACAGCCACTGGGATTCATCTTCTCTTGACTAATTATTTTTATATTATATTTAGAATAATGTGTTTACAAAGAAATTTCAGTTGTTAACATGGGTTAGGAGATTATCCATCCAATATCAAGATTTTTTTGTTGGTATCTTTTAGCTTGTAATTCTTAGAGGTGTTTTAATACATGAGAAATAATTTGACACATTCTACACTAACCATTAGATTTTTTAAGATACATATTTGCAAGTTACTAATTCAACATTTTGTCTTGTTTCTACAATTGAAATATCTGACTGGTATAACTAGAAGGTATGTCATTGCTTACAAGCAATGGGACATTGATAGAAGATAACCTGTCTAGTGGAAAAACATTCCGGCTGTGAGAAAAGAGACCATGGTTTTAGCGTTGATCTATCCCTGCCGATATTTTTAAGCCTGCTACACTTAACCTCCCTGAGTCTCGGTTTCTTCATTTGTAAAACCAGATGAATAAGGAGAGTTTCAAGTTGTAACACGTATTTCTCACTGGGGTTGTTATACTCTGGGGCTGTCACTTCTGTTCGAACATGTTGCAATAGTCTAGAGCTTCTGGAAACACTCAGCTATCTCTGGTCTGTGTCTCTGCCCTCAGTATCTCATTATTCATGTGGCTTTAAATCTTCTGAATGTCCTCTTTTTCATCAATACTTTTAGATAATCTTATTAAAGCACCTTTAGCT